TGCGCTCCTTTCTTCCTCCTCTTCTTTTCCTCTTCTTCTTTTCTCTCTCAAACACACGAGACTTTGATTGGATATGAAGTATACAATGATCTAGCAGTAAGGTATGAGTTTTGAATTAAAGTCACCATTAAAGGACCTTTAAAACTCAAATCAATAATTGAGATGTTGAAGATCTAATCTTGAAATCATCTGCGTATTTAAATATGAAATTTCAAGTTTGTTAATTCAAAATTATTTGACTAAAATCCTTGGACCTGCATTCCTTGTTGGAAACGTGATTGAGTTTTGTCCGGGAGCGTGAAACTCGAAGAAGCATCCGGAGCTCAATTATTGAACGTGTTCAAAGATACGAGTCTGAAGTCTGGGACTGCAGGGCCAAACTTTCTCTAAAGTTTGCAATTGTCATGCCAGACTTCAGCAATTGTCATGCTAGACTTCAGCAATTGTCACGCTAGACTTCAGAAAAAATTATCTGAAGTTCAAATATAACAAGCTAATTTTGTCTGAAGTTTGCACTATAAATTAAAGAACTTCAGACTAATTTGTTTGAAGTTTGCACTATGAAGTAAAACTGATGGCTTTAATACGTTCACTCTACAGTAATTGTTGAATAGACGTAGTTGCCTATGTCTCTTCAACAAACCAAGCTCCACATACATTATTTTCAAGCTTTTGCTATGAAGAGGCTTTATCTCACTTATTCTTTAATTCTTAGAAGCTCCGTTGATCTTAAATTATTCGCCAACTCTTCACAGGGGCCACAATTAGAGGGCTACTGTATAGTCTGTATTAGGGGTGTACAAAAAAAACCGATTACCTTTGCAAGTTAGGCCAAACTTCATGTGATAATATTTTGAAGTTTTGCTTTAATAAGACCACACTTCAGGCAAAAAAATTCTGAAGTTCAAACTTTAGACATACACGATTGAAGCTTTACAACAGAATCTTTGCATTATGAACTGAAGTTTGTTCTTGCACTATGAACTGAAGTTTGCCTGATTGGCTTTGCAAGTCAGGCCAAACTTCAGGCAAAAATATTTGAAGTTTTGCTTTGATAAGGCTACACTTTAGGCAAAAAATTCTGAAGTTCAAACTTCAGACACAAATTTTTGCTACTTCAGGCCCGTATGTATGAAGTTACCCGAAAAGTGGATAGACTTATTGACCTTAAGTGCATCTGAAGTGCAATTTTTTACTTCAAACTTATTAGCCTTAAGTGCATGAAACCATTGGTTGCACTTCAGACCTATTTGGCCTTAAGTGCATTTGAAGTACAATTTTTTCACTTCAAACTAATTTGTTTTAACTTCAGACCCGATAAGTCTGAAGTTGATCGTAAAGTGGGTACGCTTGCAAATTTTTTTGCAAAGTGGGTATAGGTTCAATTGTGATCCCAAAATCGGATATAGATGCAAAAGTCCCAATTCTTCTTCCTTTGCAGTGACTCGATTTACTTTTTTGGTTGTTACAAAAGGAATGGCTCCTTCCAAAATTTGAAAATAATTTAACTTAAAATTTTTTATGTTATCCTTAATGATCAGCTCCATACAAATATTATGACATATTTAAGACCAGAAGTTTCAAAAGTCTTAGGGTCACTCAAGTATTATGACATATTTAACATCACAAGTCTTAAAAACGCTTTATTTTGATGATTTTATCTTACTCTCTGTGCCCGACAGAGCAAGGTTTAAAATAAAACGAGAGTAAATGATTTTTAAGCGCTTTCGTTTGTTTACAAATTGTTCTGAATTGAAAAAAATGGAGATTGTTATTTGTTTTATACTTCAAGAGCTTTTTAAGTTGTACATAATTCAACTGAAATATTTCATAAATTAAATTAGTTTTGTAATTTTTTTTCTTATAGTTAGATATGAAGAATGCCTTGAATTTGGGCTATGATAGTTAAGATCATTTTCTGTTATCTCCAGCGGAGCAGTATCACAGCAAGTTGGAGAATAAGATTTGGTTTCTATTTGTTATATTAACCATGCATATTATAAGTGACTTAGCTGTAGATTTTTTATTATCATTTTCTTTCCTTTAAACTTTGAAAACTATAGTTTACTCAATACATAATAGCAGGAACAAGTATAAAACTAAAGTTTAAAACTTCCCATATATAAACAATTTCGGATATTTAAAAACTTAATTTCGAATTATTTGTTGATTTTCAAATATTTGTGAATTAAATTGTGAACAAAATCTTTTCTTACTCTAGGGGATTTGTTTTTTCTCTAACTTTGTGTTCTATGAACTTTAACTGTTGTAAATCTTTTTTAAATTCATAGTAATTTAAACAAGGATAAGATTAAAGAAGATGCTACATAGAAAAGCTTGCGGTAATTGTGAACTTAAATATGAAATATATCCTTGATTCTTAATTTTTGTGAATTAAATTATGAACATATATTTATTCAATTCAGAGAAGGGTCAAAAATATCCCTTTACTATGCGAAAATGATCATTTGTACCCCCATTATACTACCGATTTATTACAGCCCCTGACGTTATAGAATTGGAACAAAAATACCCTTTTGCCGTTAGGCCCCTCTACTATGACCAACATCATCCCACATGTCGTGATATTTTGCTTAGGTAGATGTCATATGGCATGGTATCTCACGGCTCCAATCCATTTCATTCCTCCCACTTTTTTTTCCTCCCCTTTAATTTTTACAAATTGCCCAATGTACAATAATTGATGAACAAATAAGGAGTACATGTGACTCCTTTCTTTTTTTTTTGGATGAGCACTGATTTTTTCTGGATGAGAATTTTGTTTGAACTGGACCAACGTCAGCCAGGCAACTGGTTGCCAATCTCCAAAGTACTCTCCAGTGTTATATATGCATTTTTTTAAAATTCAATTAATTCCTATTTTTGAGAATTTAACATAAATTTACAAGAAAAATATAGAAAACCCACACAGTACATAGGTATACCTAAAAAAAAAAAATATATAATAGACCTCATAAAAATGAAGTATATCTATACAGAGAAATATTTTGAGTCTTGATGTTTTGTAAAATAAATAGATAACACAAAGTATTCAATTTCTTCCGTATATTTGACCTAAAATATAACATAAAATATAATAGGCTGAATACATATGAAGCCCCTTGAACTTGTCCATTTTTTCTTTAGACACTTGAACTAAAAGGTGTACCTGTTGGACACCTCAACTCAAATCATATTGTGCAATTGAACACACATTGATGACATGGCTTAGCATGTGTAATACACTCTCTTTTCAGAGAGTGAAAAGTCCTAACCTTTATTTTATATTTTTTTACTTTTGTCTCCTTCAACCTCAAATTTGCCACCACCATCCCTACCACCTCAAAAATAAAAAATCCCTTTATTTGTTTTAGTTTTTTTTTTTTTTTTTTGGTTCCACAGTTACTTCTCCTCTTCATCATATAAAACTTGTCTTACTCCTTTTTATCAAAATTATCTTAATTAAAAACTAATAAACCTCATACATGGAAACGAGAAAAGCTAGGCACCTACAAAATTGTCCTTTGCTTCTAACTCAAAAACTATCCATTAAATTTTGACTTCTACCTTAGCCACAACTATTTGTTCTTCGTCTCGAGAAATTAAGAATGGAGCGATGCGAACATAAAAGAACAAAATATATAGGTGGAAAAAATTTGTCATTCAGCACCAAGGAAGAATTAGCTTAACCAATTTTTTGGTCCCTTCCAATTATGTCATTCAACAGAAGATCAAATTAGTGGAAGGAGGACGATTCACGGACCACTATCGGTACCGTTACTGCCGACACCATTTCCATCACTTTTCCCTAAAACCACCACTGCCACCCTAACCGGCGAAATTCAAACCACCGGCGAATACCTTCTTCTTTCTTCCTCACATATATAAAACCCATTTCTTTCAAATAACCTACTTATATAACCATTGACACGCCTATTCGTGAATGCTTTGAAGGTTTTATTGGGTATGGCATGATTAAAAGATGAACAAGTTTGATCCCATCAATCAACAAGATTCATAGATCTCTCTGCTAGAAATTAAGCTTAAAATGACAATGTAAAATATAGTATAAAAGAATATAGAATGGAGTACATTGGAATGATGAAGTTGGACTGCAGTGGGTAGCTATTTAATCAAAAAATGGGGTAGTTTGCTGCTGCTGGTGTTTTCACGTGGGGATTGGGTATTTAATGAAGGAGCCTAAAGGGAAGGTGGAAGAAAAAGGTGAGCTGATGTGTCATTTTCTTATTTGTAACACTGCCACGTCAACCGCATTTGAACCTCACACATGAAGTATTTTGGATTGCTACAAAAAAATGTGTTCAATTGACACAATATAATTTAATTGTTCAGTAGGTACATCTTTTAGTTTAAGTGTCTAAATAGAAAAAATAGGCAAGTTTAAGGGGCTACATATGCATTTAGACAATATAATATAACTAAAATGTAATACCAACTAAATGACATCGCATATTTGCATTGAACTGAAACGAGCTTGAATAGAACGATACATGACCCGATATACGAAGCATCTCGCATTCACGTAGGGTCCGGGGAAGGGCCGCACACCAAAGGGTGCGATGTAAGAAACCTACCCTGATGCAAGTATCACTAACTGATTTCACAACTCGAATCCGTGACCTATAAGTCACAGGGAGACAATTTTATCGTTGCTCCAAGACTCCCCTTCAATGACATGAGAATTCAACTGGGCGACCTCAACTTACTTGCGATTGAAGTGTAGTTGTTTCTTTGAAAAGGAGTGAGCACGTGAATAGTAGAACAGCCAGCAAGAACATGTAAGAGGCTTGGTAAAATCTGAACTTTGCAACATTTGAGTACAGATTTAAGTTGCTAGTGTTGGATGTAATGCAACTCCAATCTCTTTAAATGAAACACAAAATATTTGCAGTGTGGCAAGATCAATCCTCTTTGAAGAGAAAACATTCAAAATCATGTTGCAAATATGCAAATTAGTGTATCTAAAAGCTACAACTCCATTGACACTAAGACTAATAAAAATATATTGAAGGCCAAATAAAGGGGGTAAAAATGAAACCTAGCCATCTACTATATCTAGTTCAGTTTTTACATAAGAGGAACTGCTTTATCAAACATTGATTCAAAGCTTTTCCTTCTGACCTCCAATCAATTATCTAATCTAGACACCTAAGATTCAACATTTGTACATCGACACATAACGCGAGTAGCCACCATACCAGCAGAACCACCCATGACCCCATCGAAAATAAAACAATAAACTAAAATTAAGCTCCTAACTAAAAGTATAATCATCTCTTCAGTATACATCAAACAAATAGCTACTCATTGGAACAAACTCTGGCGCCGGTGACATTGGAGGGCCCTCTACGATCACACTGTGAGGTTCCTCGAGTGCAGATGTTTCTCCATACAGAGCTTTTTTTCTCATCTCTACGACTTTCCTGTGAGAGTTTGAGTGCAAAGTTGGAACAAATGTAGGACTAGCAGCAGGTCGGTACTCTGGGAATAGACGCCCTGACCGATAGCGAACTCCACAGGCATTGCATAATGTCTTTGGTCCCAATGGTCCCTCTCTCCACTGAGGTGTCTTCGTGACTTGACAATGTGTGCATTTTTTGAAACTAGACTGTTGCGTGGAGGTTGTCTTCTTCTTGGTAACATCTGCTATCTGTGGCACTGATAGCAGTGACATCTTTCTCTTCTTCTCTTTACCCTTTCTAGCATCACAAGTCTTCTTGGATGCAAATCTTGTAGCAGATATGGGAGGCATCAAAATCCATGGATTAAGAGCTGAAGATCGCGGACGCTTGGAGCGTGGACGTACGGGAATGGCAATGTCATGTTTGATGGATATGCTCTTTCCACCAGAGCAGGAGTTGCTGCTTTCAAGAACTGAAACCGGGCTTTGCGTCTGGAAAATACCACTTCCCTGGCCTTCAGTAACTTTGATCTGATAAGGTAGCGCTTAATTAGGAACGTATGTGATATATAAATGACAAGCAGCTTTTCTGCACTACCACTCTTTTAAGAGTTGATTACAACAGCTTACAAAGAAAAACTATGAGAAACAAAAGAACTAAGAAGTTACATGCGTAACTGCGTTCAGCTTTTACAAAAATATCTGGCCGGATTCACTATTTACTTTTCCTAGTCAGTATACATAGATTACACACTGATTATACGCGGTTATACACATATTATACATGAATTACACATAATATTATACATCCACTCAGAGGCGGAGCCAGGATTTGAAGTTTATGGGTTTGGGATTCTAGTTCTTTTAAGTTACTGGGTTTTAAAATAATGATTTGTACATATTCCATAAATTTCACAAGATAAATACAGAGTCTACAAAAACTACTAGGTTCGGCCGAACCCGTAAGCAAAGGGCTAGCTCCGCCACTGCATCCACCAGCTATTTCTAGTTTAAGAAGTCTTGTGGGCGGCTATTTGAGTTAATTCTTCTAATATCTTGATGGGCTTGCATGTTTAGATAAGCAATTCTACAAGGTGAGAATGTTCTGCTGCACTTTGAGAAACACAAATAAATGAACAAAACAGCTTAAAGAAAAGCATCATGTTAATCGCTAGCTATCAAGGTTTCAGAAGTTAAAATTAGTTTATTAACTTCAAACCTAGAAGAGAGACATGAATTACTTTATTAGGTGGAATTTTCAGAGAATTGCTTTTGTATTGTTTCAGTGCAACAGATTAGTTCTTTCTTCAGAGAAGCAAAAGACTGAGCAACAAGAATAATCTTCTCGTTTCTTAACCTTTATGGTCAGCAATTCAAGTACAAAGGTTCAATATGTTCTTCTATTAAACATACAAGTTACTCTTCTTCAGAAGATCAAAACTCCTTATGACAGATATCTTATGAAGAAAAAAGAATCGCCAAGAAAGATACAATAACATCTTTACTGACTCTGACAATCCCCATCTTCGCAGAAATTTGAGGTTCATTAATCTTTAAGAAGAACTAAAAATAGGGATAGGAAGTTCTTTAATATTTTCAACTGAAACTAAAGGTTAATTCAGCTAAAGTGACCGAGACTTTGACTCAATGCCGCTAGCTGTGATCACTCATAGTAACTTATATAAACCACATTACCAACTGCAAATTTCAAGCAAGCCAAGTACTTAGTTGATGAACTAGTTTTCTTACACGTTGATCATGGCACTATCCTTTAACCAGACACCATAGCAGATGATGGACGATAGCAATTGGAGTAGGTATTCTCCACCCAAGAATTTTCATTAGCAGAAGAGATGAAAAGGAACAGCTTGTAACCCAACATTTTATTGTAGCTTCTAGATAGGGACACTTGCGTTTTTTGGTATTACCTTTTCGATAAGGACACCATATCATTTTTCTTTAAATGAGGCACCAACTTAAGCAAGATTTAAATATATATATATTTCATCCTTCCATTTCAATCCCGTAACATTATGACAAGCTGGTACAGTATATTTCGCAGAATTCCATGTAACACAAGTTCTGGCCTTCGCTCATGCAGTTTTTACCAAGGAGCAACTAGGAGAAGCAGAAAACAGAAACCAAAAACAAAAAGAAACAGAGAGAGGGAGAGGGAGAAGAAGAAGTTAATATATTTTTAGAACAAGTGTTACAAGGAAACAAATAGAAAATCCTTCTTTCTCCTAAAACTGCACGATAGTTTGGAGAGAGCAAAGGACTACATTTGCAGAAAAAAGGCATAGGACAGATTGAAAGGAAAAGAAAATAGAAGCAAAGCCAACACAATCACCTTAGAATTACATTGTTTATTAGGAATCAAGCATGGGCATATCTTAACATTACATAAGCTGTTCTTTGTTTATCAAACCTTGGATTTCCAATACAAGAATGCCATTGCTTTCATATGTGAATCCATAATTGAAAACAGTAGAGGCTCGACAGGAACATAAAAAAAAAAAGGGGGCATGCGTGAGTCGAACAAATTTAACCAGAAGTACCAACTTTCATGCTTTGACACTGCCCCTGGTTTATAGGCTTCCAAATAGAAGACATAGTTCACCCTTATTATCAGCAGCATTCTCATTAAAGAGCAACAATATAAACTACTAAAACCTCTTAACCATAAGTCTACGCCACCAACTTGCATATTTGTTTACAAAACAAAGAAACCAAAAACATACAACACAAAAGCATTCAACATAAACAAGCTTTACAAAAGAAAACTGAAAACTCACAGGATGATTGGAATTTGGCTCTGCCTTCACCCGACTGTTACCAATGTTGCCTTGAGGCACGGGCGGGAAAGCCATAAGAGCATCCGTCGGAATCGGTCCAAGAAACTTGGACTCACTAGCATCCCATTCTACACCTTGTCCATCTTCTTCCAAACTTTCCAAGGGAAAATCCAAGAAATTGAGTATATCATCAAAATCTTCATCAACAACAGGACCAGTTGGAATTCCATCCAAATAACCACAATGTCCAACCATAGTCATCTTCTGAGGTACAAAAAAAGATTATAACTTTATAACACCAAAAAAAACAGAACAAAATACTTATGACAATGATACCATTAAAGAGTATTTAAAAAGGACTCATGCACAAAATTCATACACGTAACTCACCATATAGATTATATTTTTTTTCCAAAATTATGTAGCACTATTTAAGTAAACGTGAACCTAACCTAGGAAATAGATTACTAAGGTTTATTTAAAGAGAAAAAAAGGGTAAATACTATACATAAGGTTGGATTAATATTACCTATTCAAATTTTATCCATATAAGGGTACACGAATTTTTGCTTATACAAAATCTTAGTAGGTAAGGAACAAAGTTGCAACATATTTGATACGTGTCTTTGTGCTATGTACTAAAATTGTACCAAAAATAGGATTCTAATTAGAATCCAATTATGAAATAGAATCTTCATCTAATTATGATAAAGTACTTATCACACTAATGAAAAAAATTAATTTTAAATACCCATTATATTAATCACTTTAAAATATAGACTAATTCTGCACCTGGATAAATCAAGAGAATGCTGCAGAAGGAGAATCTTTTGGTCTAAATAGAGTAATTGTTGACCAAATTAGGGAAAAACTGATAATTAAAAAAAACACGTGTTAATTATAAAATTAAGAAAAATAATCTTACTCCTAATAAAAACGACGACGTTTTGTCAGTCACTTTCCTAAACAGTACCATCAACTTCACATGACCAAAAAAACCTTTGCCCTAGCAAACTTAACAAGAGACAAACATGTCGGCTCAGTTCAGCAGCTAAAAAATATATGAAAAAAAGGCAATAAAATAGAAAAAATTAATTCCCAAGGAAAAAACTCAAAAGCTCAGTAATTTCAGTGACCCATTAAGCTAAATTAGCCATTTATACAAAAAAGTAGCAAAAATCTTCAAAAATATTTGACCCATTTTCTCAACACACCTTAAAAAGCTGGAAAAAAAACACAAGGTGAGTTTTTACCTTAAAAAGATGCAAACTTTAGTTAAAATAGTGAAATGGGTATGAGAAAAAAGAAGTGAATATTTTGCATGTGTACTTACCATAGAACAAAAACCCCTTAAACCCTTGAGTATGGCATTTGCACTTTATGGGCGAAGTTTAGTTTTGCAGAGAATAGACGAATAACAAAAAGATAGGGTAAGAAAGAGGATATAGATAAAGGGGAATAAGAAAAATAAAAGCTTTTTCTTTTTTTTTTCTTTTTTTTTTTCTTTTTTTTTTTTATAACTTTTTTTCGAAATCTTTTTGTCTGAATTGGTGAGTATTTGGAGAGTTTGGATTTTCGAAATTCAGACTTTAAGTTTTCGTGAAAAAAGTAAATTAATGAAATAATGCAATTTGATAGGGTGAAGAGGAGGAGCAGGGAAGTGAAATGGTCGGCGGATCATGTGATTGTTTTGGAGGGAGAGACAAGTGATCTTATGACTTATGGTCTAATTTTAAGATAAATATTTATTTGCATATGATATTTATTGAACGACAATACGGTGCACAAAGTATATGATATTCACATAGAGTCGGGGAAAGGGTCACACAAGGTCAGGGAAAGGGCCGCACATAAGTGATGTGATGTAGACAGCCTAACTTAATACAAGTAAGTGGCTGCTTTTAAGGCTCGAACCGTAATCTATAAGCCACACAGTGATAATTTTATGGCAATTGCACAAATAGTCATTCTCAGGGATATTATTTAGAGATTAGCCAGTATTTATATTGTCCTAAAATTTTAAACTAAAAATCTTAACTTAACACAATTCTGGAAGTTTTTGTCCTATAAAATTGAACCGAAAAATTAAAATTCAGGACACACTGACTAATTCTTAAATAACAGCCTTTAAAAGTGGCTACCCGGTATCATTTCTGCGATAATTTACCGTTGCTTTAAGGTTTCTACACATTTATTTATGTCAAATAAAATAATTTAAATTCAAATACTTGTTTAATTGTTTAAATATTGTTAAGTGATAATTTAGGTATCAAAGATATATATTTTATATTTATTAATTTAATATAAATATCTAAAATGAATAAATTTTACGATAATTTTGATGGTATGGGACCTGAGTTTGTGTAAATGTTACTCCTATCTGATAATTGATGAGTTGTTAAGTGGGTCCAATATTTGTGATGGTCCCTTCTGACCAAAGGGTAATACTAATACAGTATAATTCCAAAAAAGAAAATTGATTTTTTTTTTTTGGGGTCTATTTTTCTTTGACCCCATCAAAAAAAATTCTGACACTAATAATTTGATGCAATAATGCATATGATTTTGGTTGGGAGGTTCTAATGTTACTGTGTGCCGATTGGACAGTTTCTGTTTGAAATGCTTTCTAGTGTTTCTTTTATTGTATGTATGTATGCTTGGATCATTTATCCTTGGTAGAATTTTTTTAGAATAGTTGTAATTAGATTGAATTGCAATATACATCTAAATATGATATTTATTGATCTATAAAAACGTATGGTAGAATGCAAAGGAAAATGCAGTGATACGTACTAGTAGGGGTGGATTCGGACAGTTCGGACTAGATACATACTAGTAGGGGTGGATTCGCACAGTTCGGACTAGATACAGTAACTTTAGTTTGGATTTTAAATACACAAATCGATTTTCTTATCCCTGTCTGTGGAGTCTGAAGAGGGTAATGTGTACGCAACCTTACCCCTACTTGACAAGGTAGGAAGATTGTTTTTGATAGATCATCGGCTCAGGAAAAACAAAGTCACAACATAGTCCAAAAGAAATACAATAACGAAACCACAAAAAGGAAACAATAACAGTTATTTCATATTTTAATTTTCGCTAAATTAGACTTTTTTTCTTAGAAGAAAGCATATTCAACTAAGGTATTCATATCAATTTGCCGTAATAATCCCTCGTTCCGTGTTAAAATATTGCAATTACTCTCCTAACATTAGTGAAGAAACTGCAAATTCAAAACGTTTAATTCCACCTTAATTAGCGATAGAGGGGGGGTTAAATATTAATCACTTGATCGTGCAAACGATTTACTTAGAATCGGTACGTGAAAATGAATATTGACTGATTTAGTTTGCTAACGGACTAACTTGGCATGGGTTATAACTACATAAGGTATAAATAATTTGAATTTGCGGAGATACAAAAATCTGAAATTCAAAATTTTCAAAAATTAAATCCGAACCATAATCCAAAAATCTGAATAAAAACCAAAATTCTAAAAACAAGTAAATCAAATGCCATGTGGTTTGCCTGAGAATCCACTTCTGTAACCGGGTATTTGTTATTTTTACAACATAAGTAGTTTTATACTCCCTTTAAAAGGGTTTGATTTTCAGTGAAACATATTTGGGAATATAAACAAAAATTGCTTAGAACAACGACGACGACCAATAAAATCCCACAAGTGAGGTCTGGTAAGGGTAGTGTATACGCAGAGTCGCAAACCTTATCCCTACCCGAAGAAGCAGAGAGAAAATTTGCTTAGAACATCTAATAGAAAAGTATATAGTAAACAAGAAGCAGTAGCCAGCAAGGGGTATTGGAACAAAATTTTACATTAAGCTTTGATTTACCCACAAAATTGCATGCGAGTATAGTTACCTCCACTATATCATCTTACATGCTAACTGAGCTAACTTTATCTTTCTATTCAATTTCTTTTCCTTTTTTCCGGTCATTAATGTCGGAGATATTGCAATACAATCATAACTTAAGTTTCGATGTTCTTCTTTTTGCAGTTTCAAAAAGAACAGCAACTAGAAGAACAAAGAGCACGGAAACGGCAATAGAAATGGCTTCCCAAGAAAATGCACCATATGAATCGTCGAACCCATTGTCCACCTGGTTCTGCAAAATAGCACAAACGATTAAGCCTGCAACTTATTAAATAGAATGCTCTCGTTGAAATCCATGCCCTACGTAAAATTCCTTAGGATGAGACACAAACATGCTCTAGTGCTTGTAGCTTATGCAAAGATATGTTAACTTGCAAAGATCGTTTGGGCACTTACTGTGACAACCTTGTTCTGCAACATGAGTCTGTGTTGATTTGCAAAGATCGTTTGGGCATATTTATAAAGCTCCACGTCTAGGCTGTTTAACGATGTGATCTCCTGAAGAAGTGCTTCAGACACCTGACGACGTCCCTGTCAAATTTGAAACCATGAATGTCTATGATAAGATGATTGAACCCTTGATAAATCTGAAACCAAGTATGTAGAACTGCGTGGGCAAACATGTAAAAATGAAAATTGCAGGAGGTTGAAAAACAGAACAGGATTTGGCTACAATACCTCCTTTGTAAAATTTGCTGGAGAAATTTTCTTTAAAGAATTTACACGTCTTTCAGATTGGGACTTCCTTAAGTTCGAAATGCAGCTCTCATACACATCCATGAGTTTTCCTACAGTCATCTGTTATGGAGGCAGAAAAGTTACATTTTGGAACATTCTCATATGTTGCAGTTAGAACAGAAAGACATTGTCTTCGACTTCAAAGGAATGGGCTTACATTTTCCTTTGTCGCTTCACCTCGCTCAACTGATGAGATTTGACTGGGCTTTTCGTATGAGCTGTTGCTCTGAAGTTTGGGCGAAATGAAGGATTAAAGTCACAGCTTAATATGATATTCAAACAGGCATTTAAAGCCGATAAGGCAATTAATGATCACATTTCAAGAGAGACAGAAATCTTACATGGTGATAAGTGTTATCAAAATCAGATTCTAGCAGTGAAGATCTCTGTTCTGTGCACAACCAGATGATGTAATCGTCAAAACTACAACTTAGTAAGTGTCCAACTTGAAAAACACTAGATTCTAGCAGAAAATAGGCCGTTCTTGAGAAATCAATTTGAAACATTTCTATAAACTCACGTTTGAAACATTTCTATTTTTTTTGATAAGGAACTTTTAAAACATTTCTATAAACTCAACCTCTAATTCTGACCAATTTTTGGAATTTTTGATGAAGCAATAAGAAAAAAAATGGGACCACCAAAATCGCTCTCGTAAGGTGGAAGCTTCAGTGACGGGTTCAATAACTCACCCCATCAAGAACAAAAATAAATAGAAAAAAGAAGTGTATAGCTGAGCGTCTGCTTAGTGTGTTCAAACTGATATTCATCCCACCATTGACTGTTACATGATACCCGTAGAACAAAAAAGGAATATTTGTAGCCAAGACATCAATTCGGTGAAATAAGGTGCTTCTAAACTGACCTGAGTTGTTATTAGCAGCATGATCTCCATGTGATCTAGAACTAGTGAACTGTGAAATTGCCTGAGTACCGACTACATTTGCAAACATGGTGGCTGATTCTTTGTGGTTCTCCGTGAGTCCAACATACAACATATCATCCAACCTCTTCTGCAAGAATTTACAAGTAATTTCAACCATCATCAAGAAGGGGATAATAGCAGAGTATATTACAGAAGAGTCGCTATTTAGCGTGGCTTATTACCTTTGCAACCTTAAGCACATAATCTCCAAGAGACTGATACTTCAGTACACAGTGACGAATGTCATGTGCCTCTGTCAGATAAGAGTTGTTTGTAAGTCCTGCGACCTATAAATTAGACACTATCAGGCAGATGAAACAACTTCAAGAGCCATTCCTTTGGGTCGGGAGAGGGGGAGGGGTTTCTTTTCTTTCCATCCTTCAGAAATCAAGAACAAAATTTTAGTTATGCTATTGCTGCCCCACTCGTTAGACACAAGGAATGTTGTATGCATACCATTATAATCAACTAAATAGCAACTTCTTTATCCCAGGTTACTAGATTATCTAATCTCAGTAAACTTGTATGGTATCAACCCTACTATATATGCCAGGCTCTGGTAAATTGATCCTAGGCTTCATGGTTATCGTGATATACTAGTTGTGACATTCTGAGCAGAGACAATTATAAAGGCAGGCACCAAAACAATTATGCAGAAACAGCACTAATGTTTTTTTTCCTTTCTATCCACTCTCTAAGAAAAGAATCCCTCCTTTGCTACAGCCAAAGAAATGATAAGGAGCCTCGTCATATATCATTGTTGCTTCTTTTTTTTTCTCTTTTTTTTTTTTGCATTAATTGAAGAATCTGTTTTGAGAAAACATTTTCAAAAGCATAAAATTGTTAAAGCAAGAGACTATTTCATGATACAGCAAATAGCACGCAAGGCAGTATCTGAGGCTGGTCTAGGGCCAACACGTTCAAAGTTTAAAGCAATTTGCAGTTTCATTGCAGTTTGCCAATGTTTTCTGAAAAGAATGAAACAGAAAAGAAAAGGATTCCAACTGTAGTTCCAGTAACCAGTTAAACACCAATTAACCAATCAAGCAGAAGAAAAAGGGCACCGGGCTGCCCTTTTTTATAGTAAAATACC